GAAAAAGTAATTTGTCACCAGCCCAGCCTGGTTATGTTGTCGTTAAGCCTGTGCAGCCACTCAGAAGGGAAGGGAGTGAGCTGATGAGACAGCACTCTCACCTACAGTGACTCTTCCTTGGGCCTTTAGCTGGGGCTAAACTCAAGCACATGGCTTCAGAAATTGTCCTGGGAGAATCTTCCTCTCTTGTGAATCAGCTTGGCAGTGTAAAAACCGCACAAATGCACTGTGACTGCTCCTTCCTTAAAACCCAGCAACAAAACTCCCACAGCAACCTCCTTGTTGCTTTTCAACAATCACAGCACATCCCTGTTCCTCCTCCCAGCAAAACCCTTTGCAAGCTCGTCCTTTGCTCCTCCCACACCCCCACCAGGTTCAGCTGTCATTTCCTTCTCTCATGAGAGTGAACGTGGTTTGTAACACCTTGACCGCTGGCCACATTAGCACAGGAACACCCCGCTCCTGCAGTCTGGTGCGGGGCCTCAGCTTCCTGCTTCCCCCTCTCCGGCTGCTCCTTTGCTGGGTTCTCCCCAACTCACGAATGAGGGCAAGACCTGGGCCTGTCCTCCACAGGCATTCTCCTGGCAAGCCTTGCGGTGACATAGCCCCGTCTGACACCTGGACTGTGGGTGTGAGACCCCCAACCAGAGGACACATCGAGCTGCAGCTGGACTCCTGACCCACAGAAACTGTGAGGCACCCCAGGTGAGCTGCTGCACGCTAAGATTTGGGGTGATTGTTACAGACAACAGAGAATGTGGAACCAGCAATGCCTGGCTGGTGGCAAGCACCCAGTGACCCATGGCGGCCATTCTGTGCACACGAGGGGATCCACAATGCCCAAAATCACAGAGGAGCAAACCTGCTCCCCAGGCACTTGACACAAGCCCTTCACAGGGAACTCACGTCCTCTGCCGCTTTATAAAGTCACGTTCAGGCAGAGCAATACGCTATCATCTAAGAAGGAGAGGTGGCCCAAGTTTATAAATGTATTTGTTTATATTAAACAACCCAACCAGGAAAACCTAAAATATAAGATTATACAACGAGGAAGAGAAGGGATAGGGCACAGGGGGTAAGGACGGAACCAGACTTCTCTAAATACAACTGCTTATCAGTTTTGACTTTGAAGCTACATACATGCTTTATTCAATAATAAATCAAAATAAAGCAGGGCATGGTGGAGCACATCTGTAATCCCAGCACTCAAGAGGCTGGAGTAGGAGGATAATGAGTTCAAGACCAGTCTGGGCTACATAGCAAAGCCCTGTCTCAAAACTCAACACACAAAAAAATGGGGCCAGGTATAGTGGCTCTTGGCTACTTGGAAGGCAAAAGGAGGAGGATCATGGTTTGAGGCCATCCTAGGCAAAAAAGTTACTGAGACCCCCATCTTAAACAGCAAGTCAAGAGTAATGGCTCAAGTCTGTAATCCCAGCCACTTGGGAGGCAGAAGTAGGTGAATCACAGTCTGAGGTTTGACCCAAGGCAAAAGCACAAGACCTGTCTAAGAAGCAAAGTAAAAAGGATGAGGGGCTTGACTGAAGTGGTAAAGTGCTTGCCCCACAAGCACGAGGCCCTGAATTCAAAACCTCAGTGACATCATATTTGGATAAATAAATAGAAGTAAAAATAAATGCAAAGGAAAGAAATCACAAATTATTTTTAGTAATCATATTGTCATCAGTAATGTTATTGTTTTGAAATGCACAATATAAAAATGTACTATGTTATATATAATGTAATACATATTATACAATCTATTACATATAGATACATATGGATAAAGCAAATAAGTAATTCTGTTATTTTTTTTTCTTTGCTGTGCCTGGGGTTTGAACTCAGGGCTTTGCACTTGTAAGGCAGGCACCCTACTTCTTGAGCCACATCTCCAGTCCACTTTGCCCTGGTTATCTTGGAGATAGGGTCTCAAGAACTATTTGCCCCAACTGGCCTTGAACTGGGATCCTTCTGATCTCAGCCTCCCAAATAACTAGGATTCTAGGCGTGGGCCATCAGCACTCAGCTTGTGCTAGGTTTTTAGGAAGCAAGATTTTCAGCATGAGAAAAAAAGAAACAAAAATAAAATCAAAAAGGATATGCATAAACCGTCTCATCCTAAATTTAAACTGGAAGTGTAAACATAAACTCATGATGCATTTTCTCCTAAAAAAGAAAAGTATTTCCCAGCTCCATTCACTAAAAAAAAAAAAAAAAAATGCCTAGAAACAAATAACCCGCCAGTGGCAGAGACCTGATCTCGAGGACCACAGTCTCTAAATGAAAAGGAACTAGGGTTCCCTGGTTGATTCTAGGTCTAGACAAGAAACAGGTCTGGGCTGTCCTGTCATGCTAGAAAGAAAGCTGTTACAGATGGGTGTTGAGGTTCTTTCTGTTCCCCCTGCTATGGTTTGGGAGTGTCCCCAAAGTCCATGTCTTAAAGGCTTGGTCCCCAGCCTGTGGTGGAACCGCTAGGAGGTGGGGCCTCTTGGGAGGAAGTCAGGTCATTGGGATCATGGCCTCAGAGGGGATAGTAAGACATTGTTCCCCCACCCCCCATTCCCATCATGCCTCCTGGCTGCCACGAGGTGAACAGTTTCCTCCAAGATGGGTTTCCAGTATGATACACCACCTCCCCACAGGCCCAGAGCCCGGACTGAACCTGAGTCCAAATCATCCTTTCTTCCTTCAAGCTGTTTGCCTCAGATGTTTCGTCACAGTGATGGAAAGCTGACTGCACACCCCTCTACTTTACAAAATATTTGTTGGGTTTTTGCTTCCTCTCTTCGTCAGTCACTATGCAGATCTGAAAAAGTAGGTTGGTGGGAACAGGCAGACCTACGTCAGGCTGTGAATTGCTCAGGGTGAATGGCAGCCCAAGAGGTCAGGAGTCAGGGTCAAACAGAGGGACTGAAATAATGCAAGTCAGAAAAAGGAGGTACAAATATGGAAAAGGAAAAAGCTGGAGTGAGCCTTGTTGTACAGCACTGGACTTGCACAGAATGCTGGGAAGTCATGGGTTTTAATAAAGAGGAGGTGCAAATTCATATACTTCATACAAAAGATAGACTGTGATTGATTGAAGTTGTATACTATAAACCCTACAGTAGCCATTGGACCAATGAAAGAGCTGGGTGCTAGCCAGACATCCATTGTTCACTCCTGTAATCCTACCTACTCAGGAAACAGAGATCAGGAGGATCAAGGTTCAAAGCCAGCCTGGGCAAATAGTTCTCAAGACCCTTTCTCAAAAAACCCTTCACAAAAATAGGGCTGGTGGAGTGGTTCAAGGTGGAGGCCCTGAGTTCAAGCCCCAGTACTGCCAAAAAAAGCCAGGTGCTATAATCCTAGCTATTTCAGATGCTGTGATCAGGAAGATCATAGTTTGAGGCCAGCCCGGGAAACAGTTTGTGAGACCCCCATCTTCAAACTAACCAGAACAAAATGGATTAGAGGTGTGGCTCAAGCAGTAGAGTGCTGATTTGTAAGCATGAAACCCTGAGTTCAAATCCCAGACCAACCAAAAGAAACAAAAAACAATAAGGTTTATACCTAATAAGTCAACATATAAGGTATAATACATTCATTAAAAAATTCAGTTATACCAAAAGAAGACAGAAAAGGAAGAAGCAAGAATGGGTAAGACAAATAGAAAATGAGTAACAAGATCTTAGATTTAAACCTAACCATATCAGTAGTCACATTAAATATAAATGATCTAAATATCACAAGTGAAAGGCAGAGACCATCACATAAAGCATGATCCAGTAGGCCATCTACAAGAAACACACTTCAAAAATAAAGACACAAATAAGTTGAAAGTAAAAGGGTGGGAAAAAATATAGCATGCTATCACTAATCAAAAAAAAATGGCTTATCAATACCAGACCAAGCTGATTTTCCCCTGCAATGGTACTGGGGTTTGAACTCAGGGTCCCTGTATGCTACGCAGGCACTCTACCAAAGTAGATTTTAGAGCAAAAAATATTACCAGGAATAAAGAGGTGATTTTACAGTAATAAAGGGGTCAATTTATCAAGAGGACAGAACAATACAAAAAGTTTATGCACCTAATAATACAACTTCAAAATGCCTTGAAGCAAAAACTTAGAAAACTGAAGAGAAATCAGGGCACCAGTCATAGTTGAAGATTTCAGTGTCAGGCTTTCAATAATTGATGGAAGAAGAGAGCAGAAACCAGTAAGTACATAGAAGAGTCCCACATTGTCAACTAGACTGGCCTCCTTGCCGTGCATAAGACATTTCACTCAACAATAGCAGAAACACATCTTCCCAAGCTTACACTGAACGTTCATCAAGATAGACGGTACTCCACCCATTCACAAGTCTCAGTACATTTGACAGGATTCAAGCCATGCAAAGTGTCTCTCTCACCATGGACTTAAATGAGAAATTCATAACTGAAAATCCTCTGAGAATGTCCAGATAACACACTTCAAAATAGCCCAGAGGTCAAAAGGGGAATCAGAAGAGAAACTAGAAAGTACTTGGAATACGACAGAGAAGAATTTATGGAATCATTAGCTGTGGATTTTTTGTAGTTCTCTTGTCAAGTGCTCTCCTCTACTCCCACTTTACTGGGGAGTTTTCTCTCTTTCTTCTTTTTTTTTTTTTTTTTGGTGGTATTTGGGTTTGAACTCAGGGCCTCAGGCTTGCTAGACAGGCACTCTACCACTTGAACCACTCTTCCAGCCCTTTCTTCCTTCCTTCCTTCCTTCCCCCTCTCTTTCTTTCTCTCTCTCTCCTCCCCTCCCTCTCTTTCTTTCTTTCTTTCTTCTTTTTCTCTTCCTTCCTTCTTTCCTTCCTCTCTCTCTCTCTCTCTCTCTCTCTCTCT